TTCGCAACCGCTGTTTTTATCGATTCGAATATTTCCGAATGTTCTTCCCCCATTCGAATTTTTTAACTTGAGTTTTCACACTTTTAAGTTTTTTTTCTCATTCTCGTCTCGCAAAAGGGGTCTAAGTTTTTCTTTTAAAGTAGCCCCGTTTGGGATGAGTTTAGCTAGATGAATTATGCTACCCATAAATTACCTAAGCTGTTTAAGTAATTTTGGTGGACTGAGCTTCAGTATGGCTTCCGTTTTTGTTTTTTTTTCGGTAAAATGCCTTCTGGCGATAACTAGTGCCCCAGCCAATTCACCTCATTTTGAAAAAGTTCACGTTTTGACAGTTTCGATGCCAGATTTTCTCTGTCGAGTTTTTCCAAGACGTTCATAATCAATTTTTCATGTTCTTGTTCACTCCTTGTGTTTTTCGCATGATTTAACGTTCTAACCAAAGACTTTTGGAACTCTGCTGGCATGTCCACAAGCCCATAGAATCCAGTGAGAAACCTGTACGTTCCAGCGGCCTATCCGCCCATGATAATAAAGTTGCATTGTTTTGCTGTCTCAGCAGTCAACTTTAATTGGATGTACGCATACTTCAAGTCTAATACTGAGAAATACAAAGTACCATTTGTATTTGCTGTTACTATTTGACTAACCCCATCCAATAACTGGTCAACATTAGGCATTTGATATTTGTTTTTGAACAACTGCCTGTTGATAGGTTTCGCATCTAAAGCCAGTTTTATGGAATCATCTTTTTTCACTGTGATTACAATTTGTGCTATCAAACAATCGCTAGTACATTTGTCCAGACATTTTATATGCCCTTCTTTTAACAGTTTTTCCATTTCTTCATGTACCTTTTCCTGGATGTGTCTTGGGATCCTTCTCCCTTTCTCTTGTAATGGGCAAAGTGGGTATTTGAACTTTGTACTGACAACATGATTTTTCGAGCAACCCTGACGATCAAAAAGGTCCTTAAATTTACTCTAAAATGTGTTTTTCCAATCTTCAGACTGCTTGCACGGTAGCACATCAAATCTCGTGTTATCTTTTGGTGCCAGATTTTGTGTTGTGTGTATCCCCACTTTGCTCTGTAAGTCCAGCCCCAATAAGCATCTTGTGCGTCGTTCTGTGATCAGAAATGATGCCCCCACTACGTCCCACCCTGCCGAACGGTTGGTTGTGGTAACTGCTCCCAAAATATTACTTGGCTGTTTATTGTAGTCTACAAATTGAGCTGTCGAATTTAGATTCTCCCGTGGAATGAACTTCGTATTTTTGGAAGACATTAGAATTTGTTTCGCTGTCGCACAATTTAAGAACGATTCTGGACTATCGTTGTCAAAAGTCATATTGATAATTTGGTGATCAATTCTGACTAATGCTTTTAAAGACTCTATCAGTTGTGATTGAGGTTTCCTGCGAATATCGACCTTTCTTATATCTTTACCGCTATCCCCAACTTTTAATTTTCGTTTCGATTGCTGTTTTATTCATTCATCTAACTGCTCCATCGACGATATATCCGATTCTATTGCCATTATTTCAAAATCATCGCATGAGTCAAAAGAATGAATCAAATTACACTCTTCATCTGAGCTAGACTTTTTTTCAGCAATTTCATTTACTTTTTTTGACCTACACATTTTTGCAAAACGAATTTGTTTGGAACAATTCTTACATATTTTGCCCATGGCCGGAAATTTCTTCAACTTACCTTCTCCAAATAGCCGACTCCATTGAGTACACGTTTTTGGATCCGTAGAGCTTCTTCCCTCTCTCCTGTCAGATGGTGCTCTCTCCTTGTAAGGCGATCGCTCGTGCGTTTTCCTGTTCTCTTTGTGTCTCCGGCCCTGGTAACGGCTCCAACAGAATTTTTTTCGGTTCTTCTAATAATAATTCAGGTTTCATGCTCTCTTCAACTGTAACTGCCAATAGGAATTGATCTAACCATATCTTGAAATTCCAAGGAGGATCCGAATTCGCCGTTGTCCAGAATACAGGAATTCCCATATCCGTTCTGTGATCTTGGGACATGAATCCTGCTGGCTGCGCCATGTGATAATCCGATACTTCGTTTTTAGTTAATGAGCGGAAACAGAAGAGTTTATATCTTTAATTTGAACTTCTTGTCAATCATCTTTTGTTCGGAGATCTTGTTGTTAACTCTCTGCATTTTAGTTTCGCAGCCGTCCAAATGACTGTTGCATTAGGCCTGCTAGGTTGGCATTGAATAAGTAATAACAATACATAACAGTTATTAATAAAAGTAATTCTCCAAGGTTACTGTGTCAACAGTACTACACAATACCACACTTTTCGCCAAAGTTTGAGAATTTGATTGAGCAATTTTCAGAGGAAATTTCATACCACCTGAAGGTGGCATTATCCGGACATCAATTTTAAGTGATTGTTCAACTGTGATTGTTTTTCGTGAAGATAAGTCAATTTGAAAATCGCCACTAAAGCTAATTCAGGAAAAAAACGTCCAATACAGTAGCGGATTTAGGGGGGGGACGCTTTCTTTATCTTAGGGATTCGATCCACTGCCGACCCAAAGGGTCCCCCTTTGTACTATTTTGAGACATCCAATATCCATTTTTGGCTGACTGGATCTTGAAATTTTTCTAAAGACGCCTTTGGCGCCATTTTATACTAATTTTGAGGGGGGAGCGCGAGTAAAAAAAAAACGCGATTTTTTAGTCGAAATTTTCCAAAAAGTGCTAAAAACGCCCTACGGTGCAGAAAAATTGGTCAATATAGGGTCTTTAAAGTAGTTTAGGAAAAAAAGGTCGAAAAAAATCATCAACATTTTTTTCGAAAATCAGCCATCCTCCTTGAGAAAATCCTCGATGCGCGTTTTATTTTGTACTAAAAAAGCTTGAGCTGTAATCAGTTCTGCTAAGAATTTGTTCTAATTTTTTTGAGACAAATTACAATGAATTTTCGATACAATTCCAGGTGCAAAAACATAACTTTTTATTTTTGCATAGCGTGTAGCGTGAATAACTTCAAAAACAACTGAAAAAATTCTTTCTTTTTTTCACTAATTTTTGAAATTTTATGCTTTTTCAATTTTTTCAAAAATATGGCTAAAGTATTGTCGGATTATTTAGGGTTTTTTCCAATTAAAAACTGATTTTTTTTTGGAAGGTGTTTGTAGCTTCATATCGGCTTCTTAGAAATTGTAAGAGAGTTGATATTATCAAATGCCGTTGAAAAATTCAGTTTTGTCAAACGAAACAGTACTGAAAACAAATGTACCACAGAGAAAAACTATGCTAAAACTCACTTTAAGAAAAACTTTTTTGTTCTGCGTGAAAGTATTTACTTCTGTTTTTCTTCATTTCTTCATTTTCTTGAATAAATCTGAATCGAGCTTAACACATTCAGCGAGCTGTTAAATCAAAAATTTTAACCGTTGAGATGGCTCATTTTTAATATTAGTTTTGTTGGTTGTATATTTAACTCGGACTCAACGGCGACTTTAATGCATGTTTTTTAGAGAGCTTTATTTGATTTTTCTAACGTAGTAGTTTTTTCGACGTTGCATATCATTTAGCAGCAAAGCCTTATTGCTTATACGTCAGAATGGATTCGTGGAATAGTGAAATTACTAGATCTTCATCTTCACGTGAGTTCAAGATGTTTCTAGAATATTCTAACTTACTTTTCTTTTCTGTCAATGCATCAATCCGTTCTCGTTTTTTGCCAGTTTTTTTCCAAATTCAACTACCCTTAAGTCTTCGGGAGGTAAAGCTTTTAAACCAGCAACTGGGATAGTCTCTGTTTTATTGTTACATATTTTTCTGGAAGCTAAAATGTTTCATTTTTTTTCTCCAGTGCTTATCTTTTATGTGTATTTATTTTAGCAATTTTGCATAGGGAATTCATTGCAATTTTTACTTCAGTTTTTCTTGAGGACTTTCGTGTGGAATCTGTGGTGGCGTGTCACGGAGCCGAATACCCGGATAGCCGAAAAATAAGTTCGTTCCCGGATAGCTGAAATTTTGGGTCTACATAGCAATTACCTCCCTTCTGCCCCCTGACCCATTTCTTAATTGGGGAGGGGGGAGAGATTCGTTACTAGGTACCATAGGGGTGAAAGAGATTCTACAAACTTACTTAAAAACCTTGTTTTCATTACCCTTTCTTTACCCTTTGTTTCGGTACCCTTTCTCTACCCATCCCCCCCACACACACACACTTAGTCCAATCATTCTTCCTTCCCATTCCCTTCCCCCTCCCAAATACTTCCTCTGACTACCCACATTTACCCCCACCATGCTCCCCCCCCCCCCGTTTTTGGGATTTTTTGAAAAAATTTTGACCAAAAATTTCCGTTTTTCAGCGCGTGCTCCCCTTTAAAATTAGCATATACTGAAAAATTTTAGGGTTTCTCGGCCGAAAATGGATATCATAAAACATACCAAAGAGGGATCCTTTGGTTGTTGAGGGGGTCAAATCCCTGTAGTAGTCGGACTTTTGCTATTAATTAATTCAATGAGAGCAAAAGTATTAACCAATCAAATCTCTTTAAAATGTTCGGAATTTTGTTAGCTATAACAGGCTGCGCATTTTGTCGAATCAGAATGCGTCTCAAAGTGTTCTGATTTAATTTAAATAAAACCGGAGGTATTTAGTTTTTTCGGCTATCCGGGAATGCGGCTCCGTGGGTATGCACCGAATCTGTAACTTGTTACGAAAAAATTCTATGGAAAGTATGTATTTTAATCTAAAAAGTAATTTTTTTACTGGGGATTTTTTGAATTCCGGCCTAAACTACTTCGGAAGGAATTGTAGCCTAGTATGAGTTTGTTTATTAATGCTGTAGTTTAGTTTTAATTGGTTTATAGCTTAATTTTTGAATAATTTGTTAGCGCAATTTTACTTATTGTTCCGACTTTCGATATGAAAATAGCGGAACCTTTGTGCTCGCCCGCACCGAGCGCCCATATATCACAACCGATTATATTGTCATTGTATGGTCAGTATCTATATAGTTACAAAATAATCGATTATATTCCATTAAAATGGATTTTATTCCTAATATTTTGTATGTCAATATAATCCATTTTAATCGATTATAATCCATTAAAAATAGGTTTCAATCCTAATATTTCTTATGCCAATAGAATCCCTTATAATTGGTTATAATCATTTATTTGGATTTTTTCGAGAGGTTAACCACGGAATTTGACCATAAGAGATTAACCGTTATAGGTTAACCATGAAGTTTTCTCTTTTCCAGTTTAGAGCAGTTGCTACGTATTACGTCTCATGAATTGTTGAATTTCACATAAAAGTTTTTTTGTGTTCTTTTTCAATGCATCTCAGTTTACCCATCCCTTAACCCCTATTTTTTACCTCCCTCAGTCAATTCGCCCTCCCTGCCAGCTAACCACAACCACCATTCGCCCACTCCCATTATGGTTGAATATGGGGGATTATTTATTCGTAGACTTTGGGGGAAGGGGGTTAGGGGGTTAAATGACTGACACCCTCAGTTTACCCAACCCCCCACAGTTCACCCACTTCCCACAGTTTACCACCCTCCGCAGTTTAATCCCCAGAGTCCCCCCTGTCCCCTGTTGACCCCCCCACCCCCCCACCGGTACCCTGTTTAACAACCCCCCTCCCTGTCCCCTGTTTAACACCCCCTTCCCCCCTGTCCCCTGTTTACCTCCACCCCCTGTTCGCCTCCCCCAGTTAACCCTCCCGTCCCTCCGGTTTACCCTCCTTCTCTTTAGTTGTAGAGGAGGTAGAAAACTTGAAGGGATGACGCTGAGACATGGCATTTTTTGAAAGACGTGGCATACACTTTGCAAATTTTTTTGCACACTTTGCAATACTTCTGCAAAATAATCGAATTTAGTCCTAAAAATGAAATGGATTATAAACGATTATAATGGATTATATTGATTTTCTTTTCAAAAACGAACGATCGATTGTATTGTACTATCGTGGCAAAAAATTGACTTCCTTGCCAAAATAATGATTTTTAATCGATTATAATGGACCATAATGGATTGCTTTTTTTCACAAATATTCAATTATAATGGCAATTCTGAAATTTACATCTTTATTGGATTATAAGGGTTTGTTTTTGACTCGGGAATGCATTATAAAGGATTAAAATCCATGGGCGCTCAGTCCGGGCAGGGTGAATATTTTTTTCTTCAGATGATTTTCCGACTTTTTAACTAGCCTTTTTCGACAAAATTTTTTTATATCATTCAAAAAGTAATGTTATCATGAGCATAAATTTGAAAGACATTTTACCTGTAATCAGGGGCGGATTTAGGATTTTTTCGAAGGGGGGCGGATTTTCAAAAAAATTTCGAAAATTTTGACGACCTTTTTTTTTTAGGTCGACCATATTGATTTTTCGAGCTCTCCCAAAGCACGTTTTTGTCCCTATTTTGGCCAAATTTTTTGCCGCAGGCAAAATTTTGAAAAAACATGTCAAAAAAGGCGTTTTAGGCACTTTTTGGAAAATTTTGAACGAAAAATTGCGTTTTTTCGGCGCGCTCACCCCTCAAAATCAGTGTATATTGGCGCCAAAGGCGCCTTTAGAAAATTTTTAGGGTCGGTCAGCCAAAAATGGATTTCTTAAAAAGTATCAAAGGGGGGACCCTTTGGGTCGGCAGGGGGTCGAATCCGCTCATGGCCTGTGATCATTTTTTGTGAAGTTATGGGGGTTTTAAGATTGCCATTTTGGCCTATCTGGGACAATTAACGCGCGACATAGTTCGCATTATTAACGCGTAAGCGGAGATTTAATTCCTCTTAGAAATCGTTCCAAATTGGTTGAAGGAAGCTTACTTGTATAATTGATTTGTTACTAGGAGCGAATTTTATCCCTTTGTACTTTATATGACGCGTGGGGGGATGATTTTCAAAAAAAAATCAAATTTTAGAAAAAAAATTTCATTTTGTTTTATAATTTTTAATTTTCATACGTTATTACTGCTCCATAAACCTTAAAAGGCAGTCGGAACATTCAGGGCTTCGCGCTGATACGAGTAGTCTTGTTAGCTTTTATGATAGCAGTTCAGTAGACGTAAATTGCACACGTGGGTTATCTTGTCGAATCTGTCTTCAAATTTTTCGCCCTCACATTCATTATTAAATGCTGAACTCAAAACCAAGTTACTTTTTTTCTTTGAAATGATGTTCCACGAAATTACGAACTACCACATTTAACATAAACTGGTTAAAAAAAATATAGGCTACAAGTATCCAAAATAAATTATCGAAATACCTTTTCTCGAAGTTATCCGATTGAATAAACCAATTGCTAGTTCAAATAATTGGCTCTTTTTCCTTTTCCCCCCACCTCACACGAGCTTCAATATATTAGTGTAACGAGTGGTTTTACGAGGTTGAGTATGAAGACCAAATCTGTTTGTCGTGGCCTTATTAGTCTGTTTGTAAATTTTCATAACAATCGGACAATGTGGTCAACAAAGTTACATGAAAAAATTTGCAGGTGGGGGGGAAAGGAAAAAGAGTCAAATAATTTATCCAATTTTGCTGTCATGTTTCAATCACTTCTTTCATTGGAAAAATTTAAAATCAAGCTTAGAAATAAACGCCTAAAATAATATTCAAATTATTATCTTAAAGTGATGATTACCTGACACGACTTTTTACATAATTCAGTAGTATCAATCTGAAAAAATTTGTTTGCAGCTTATCCCTACGTCGAAGCTACCACTCTACCTAGCGGTTCAGAAAATCCAGGTAACTATAACATAACTTTTTGTCATGCAAATAGAAGAATGAGCAAACTTTTTTGAGTTTTGGTTGCCTCATAAGAAAGTACCCAAACGCTGAACATTTCAATATTGATTTTATGCTATAAAATGCAAACGTTTCGTTAAATCAAAAACGTACAAATTTTCTTTGAAAATAACGGCTCTTTTCCAGTCCCCCCCCCCCCCCCCCCTTTCAAATTCAATTTTGAAAAAACGTTTAATGCTGTCATAATGCAATGAAATTTGGCGTTGTGAACAAATCGACAATTCTGAACAGATTTGTTCTTCATACTTTACAGCGTAACATCACGCATTTAGCCGTAATAACACGTAAAACAAACATAAAACTCGTATTTTGAAACGGGAAAATTGGAAAAGAGCCAAAATAACTTGTCAATTGAAAAAAAAAACTTTCATTTAGGTTTTTCATCACAAAATGACCACTTCTTTCGATTCGCACAATGGGGAATTGCTATAAGGAAAGAAAGTCTTGTTGAACAACTCGCACCAAAGAAACAAAGCGCTGATTCATTGAGAAAAACACAGAGAAGACTAGACGAACTTTTACCACAGGTGAAAGAAAAAATAAACGCGAATATATACCTGGATTTGGAGAACATCACGTACCAATATCTTGACCAAGTGCTTCGATTAATCGCAAATCAAGAACAACATTTGGAAAAGCAAATCAACAGTTCCGAAACTTGCATTCAAAGTGTGAATGATTTATACTATTTCATGGATTCATTGAGCAGCTTGATACCAATCGCTGGACCATTAAAGGCTTTCAAAGGACATCTTGAGTATCAAATTTTTGTCAGCCAAAATATTGAACCCGGATCCCCAATGAAAATAGAAGAACGCGTTCTCAAATGGCTGGCAACAGAGTTAGTGAAATTGCAGAAAAACATCCGAAACTCCACAGAAAACTTGTGATAAGTGAAAAAAGAAAATAGTGCGACATACAGCTGAAATTAAAAAGAGAAAAAGCCTATCGTTAGAGCGAAATATTAAGTCTGCAAATTATGGAAAAAAAGTTATTTCAAATAAAAATCTGGTTATACTGGTAATCCATGAATCACATGCAGAACTTTTTTCTGTAGTACAAGAAATCAGAGCAATTGCTGTCAGTTCCAATTTTTGTCAGATTTTTTTCTCCAAATTTCATAAAATAGTGTTTTCGCTCTGACTTTCCCGTATAGAAGTTTGCATGTCGACTCTATTTTTCTGAATTGCATGTCAAAAAAACTATGAATCATCATGATTGCATGAATTCGTTACAGAATCAAAAAATGAAACATTGTATCCCAAAATTTTTGAAAAAGCAAGGTAGTGACCTTACTTGCAAAATAAATTTTTGCTTTTAAAGCGATTTAAAAAGTTTTAATTCCGTTTTGCGGGAGCAGTGGTGAAGTAGCTACGCCTCCCCATCTCAGTTAAAAGTTCGAAAATTCGATTCACACCACGATACGTGCTCGTTGCTTAAGGGCGAGGCAACATCACCAAATAGGCAAAATGTTGCGTTTAGTTCTTAACCAGTGTTACAGCAGTGTAACACCCTTAAAACCTGATCGGCTCGTAAGTAGTCAATTTTCTTCTAAATTCTATTTAAGGTTTAAGGTATATATTTTACAAAATAAACAAAAAACTGTAGCAATTTTGGTTTTTTTCCGATCCCCCCCTTTGATTTTTTTCTTAAGTTCATAACAAGAAAATAGTTTTAAAATTAAATTTCATGTTATAAACAGTATTAAAACGTGTCAGCGTGAACTGGTGAACAAGTTTTCTTAACATTTATATCCTGTTAAATTCCGCGTGAACAATTTTTCAGCAGCTTTATTTTGGTATTTTACGATGAGGATGAGAAACTGGAAAAAAGCCGCGTATTTTTTTCCACAAGAAGGGACAGGAAGAAAAAAAATCAAAGGGCGTTTTTCTTTCCATCCTGTATGCATGTATCTAAAAAATATTGTTTTATAAAAATCCGAATCAGTTGTGACTTATGTTTGAAAAAAAAGGATTTTTGATCTCAAGAGAAAAAAGTCAGATTTTTTTTTAAATTTAATAAAATGGTTTCTGGTTTATTAAATTGGAATTATGTCAAGTCTCGCAATTTTTGCAAAAGCTTAGAAAGAGAGCCCATGTTGCTGACTAAAAAAAAGAGAAAACGGAAATTTTGTCGTTTATCAGATTTAGTATTTTGTTATAAGCCTTATACGGTTTGAGCTGCTTTTCGGTTCAATTTTTCGAATAAAAATTTAATTAATTCGTATTTGAAGGTTTTAAACAAAAAACATTGGTTATGCATTCTTTCAACTAACCGAGGAAACTTTTAGGCAAATTTTTAGATTGTTAAAAGAATGTAAAGATTAGAAGATTAAAATCTTTCTTAAGACTATCTTTTTTCTCTTCAAAACATAATTACTCTTTGTAATTTTTGAAAAATGGACTAATGTCGCTGCTGAATGTTTCAAACTTCAATTTTTTATAAACTCGCCTTTGACTCTTTTTCCTTCCCCCCCCCACCTGCAAATTTTTACATAGAAATTTGTTGACCACATTGTCCGAATGCTATAAAAATTTACATACAGACTAATAAGGCCATGACAAACATATTCGGTCTTCATACTCAACCTGGTAAAACCACTCGTTACACTAACATTTTGAAGGTCGTGTGAGGTGGGGGGGGAGGAAAAAGAGCCTCGCCTTTTTTGCTGAAATTTTTTTCACAAAAACTGATTGCATCTACAAAGATTTGAGCAAGTAGGTTAAGCTGAGCCAGTATTGATTAAAAAATTTCCACCTATTTTTGTCGAAATTTATATTCAGGATTTGCAATTGAAACCTAATGCAATCCAAAAAATCTTTTTTACACTCTGTTAATGCAATATGGTTCTAAAATTTGTCAATGTCACGTCTAATATCCGGATCGAGTGCAATTTATTGGAACCTGATCTAAACTACATTTTATGATTGGATAAATTAGATATTTTACCACTGTAAAGTATTTAATATTAACCAATCATGATCCATCTAACTAACAACCCACTTATTTGTAAGTGCTGAAATTACTTGTAATTTCAGCACCAGAGAGATTTGAATTTAACTTAGAAATTAGTTGACTCTCCAAGAAGACTTCAGCAGCCGAAATAAACCAGTATACCCTAGATCTATTGAGCCTAGCAGAGACTAGTTAAACACCCTGAGACTAGATAGTATAAGAGTAAGATTAGGATCGGTATTAGACTAAGAAGTTGCACGAATCTATCCGGCCGAAAATAAGATAGCGTGACGAGCAGACGGTGTACCCTATCCGAAATTACTCTATGAGTTAACCACCTCGGTTATAACTCATCTGGTGCGACCATAAGTCTCGAACAAGACCTTAATAGCTTAGAATTAACCAAAAATAGATTAGAATTTAGACAAAACATTTTTAAAATGTTACACGACGATAATTTAATCGAAATGTCTCTACGACTCAATAGATCAAAGCCAATATTCCGAACGATAAGAGAACTACCCGGAATTGGAAGAAGACCTCGAACCAGAGACGACATACGACAAAATAGAAACCTACCATATAGTTATATGATAGTACGGCAAAAGCCAACATAAACTTTTATATTTAGAATCTTATTAGCAATGAATTTAGATTTTCATTTGCAAACATAACATTTTGAAGTCAAAACTTCATGATCATTACAGGCGCTAAACAAAATATTAATATCGTTTCAGATCTCAGATCGTTTCCCTCTAAATTCTGCAGTATTATATAAAACATGTTTGGAAAATATTTATTGAAAAACAAAACAAAAATTAGTAGCATGACAATAAATTGTTAGTAATCATAAAATCATCAGTTGCCCCAGCTTCATCACCTAAAACATAACAGCAATCATAAGCTCACTAATATCATTAAAACACTAAATCTTTTTCTTAAACAAATTTAAACCATTTTAAAATTAAATTCATTTAATTTTCAAATCAGATCATCAAGGCTTATCCTTGGATCTAAATTCATTTTCTATTTAATTAAAATTTAAAACTTGATCATCAAGGCCTATCCTTGGATCAAAAAGAACAATTTTGTTCTGCCCCACCCACTTAGCTAGTGTCTAACGACCTCAAACGTCGATTCACTATCCAACCCTTTCGAAACACCCAAGACTAATAGAGATTTTTAAACAAAACTAACCATTCAAATTAGAATAAACAGTGAAGAACTTCGGTTATTCATCCTTCACTTGAACCCTCCTCTTATCAAGACCCAGGATAAATCTTAGACTTAGTAAGTTTAAAATAGTATCTAACGAACTACTCGCGTTCTAATTATACCTGAACCTTGTGGATCGATTTACTATTCTCCAACCCTTGAACACAATCACTACCCCTAAGTAAGATTAAGTAAGTTAACACCTTAGCTTATACTAGCCACGAGAAAGTAAAAATCATTCTTCGGAATCGATATACTTTTCTCTCCAACCCTGAACAAATAGACCCAGGTTAAGCTAACCAAAAAATCGTAAGGACTAACAATTTAAGAAAATAGAAATCATCTAACAACTTTTTGCATCCTTCATCCTAAACCTTATGTCATTTAAAAATCTAGGAAACAAACAAACAATCGTTTTGCACAACTGTGAAATAGAAAACAAAAAATACGACCTTGTAATCACACCTCATACACAAACAGTTGGATATATTAGAACAAAACGACAAACACTAAAAAGAAAAATAATAACAAAACAAAGACAAATAACACGAAAAAGATTTTCCAAAAATAGAAACGCATTTTCAGAATCAGAAGCCAGCAATTTAGACGGACTTTATAAATTAAAAGAATCTATAGATAAAAATTGCCCCATTCACGATCAATTATATTTTTCCGACTCAGAAACAACTTCGAATTCATCAAAAAGAGGAAAAAGACGAAAAAAAAAGGAATATAAACACAAACCAGTACATTTGTATAATTGGAATCAACCAACTAGACACATCGATAATTACCTATTAACAGTCATTAAACGAAAAAATGAGCCAAACACACTCCAAGTGAAGATAGTCCAGATGATGACGATATATTCCCCTTCCTCGTAGATGCACCCAATGATAGAGGACAGCATATATTTTGCAAGAATTTACTACTAAATTTATTTGAACCCGGAATCAGCCCATGTAAAACAGAGTTCCCAGATGTAAAGATAAAAAGACAAATTATTGATCACTATTTGAAAGATATATGTAATTTGACACAACACTACGGAATCTATACCATAGAATTAACCTCACCAAACCCGAATCACCGCAAATATGTAATTCAAACAGACGATCTTAATTTAGAATTTTCAAAAGTATTCTCAGAATATATAAAAAGCATACAATATCATAATTCACAAAGAGCAAACTCCATATTCACTAATGAAGTTTTTGCCATAATATATGGTTATATCTCAATATTAGAAAACGAAATCCCAATCTCAAATGTCTCACCGACAGAGACATCAAAACATATAAAAGTACGACATGAAATCACACTATTTTCAACTTTTCTACATATAATTAAAGAAAATTTCACTAAAGATGATGTTTCACAACATACAAAACATGACTTACAAAAAATTTTGGCATGGTTCATAATAGATTATTTCACACATAATATAGATTTAATTTCACAAGCAAGAAAAAATTTTAGACCTCAAAATTCAAACGATGATACCGCCACCACAGAACAGTCAGACTACATTTGGGACCCCGAATGGTCTCATTATGCATTCATAGATTTTCCACAATCAATCTCAAGTCAAGCAATAAGTACAATATCTTATACAAGAGATTATGTAAGAGTAGTACCATTAACCATTGACGCAACACCATTAAACTACAATACATTTTTACCTGATACGCGAAACAACAGTTTAAATTCGACCGTCATACACAATGAAAACCTTAATGGAACTAGGAATCTCACTCAACAAGATATTCAAACACCATCACACTTCATAAATGAAGAAATTGTCCAAACAACAACAACTACACAACAAAGTATTTCACCGATACGTCCAAATTTAAC